TCTAAATCTCCTAATCAAAATATTTATATCTTTTCTAAAGTAACTGTAAAAATTGTGTTATCAATAAAAGAAAAACTGCAGAAAAACAAAACTATCTCTTTCTGATGATGAGTGGTCCAAATCCTTGTTCCTTGTAGCCTATACTATCTATTCTTAGCAGCTCCCTAGGTAATCACCAATCTTACAACAAATTGTTGCAAGTCTATCGTCCTTAATGATCTTCTTCAAATGCACGAATCGTTCAAATTATGCTAGCCTCTTCTCCTCTTGATAAACTAAATCTCTCATTGGCCTGAGAGAAAAATGACTCTTGGAATATCTTCTCTTTACGATAAACTGAATCTCTCGTTGGCCTGACAACTGGTTTCCATCTTATTTGTTGTTAACGAACAAGCTCAAATATATTTATATTTTAACCTGCATATACATTATCAAAAATTGTTATTTTAATGTCAAGTTTATTTATGTGTGAAATCTTTTAATTTTTTTACTCCTGATGAAGCCATTAAATAAATAGCGAAATATTGAGCCTTAAAAAAAAAACAAAGATTTTTATTTAATATAGACCACATACCCGATATTTCCAACATACTTTATATATATATATATATATATATATATATATATATATATATATATATATATATATATATATATATATACATATATATATTTATATATATATATATATATATACATATATATATATATATATATATATATATATATATATATATATATATATATATATATATATATATATATATATATATATATATATCACTCTGAGTATACTTAAAATACGGCACTTGCCTAGTTCAAAGTGCATACAGATGTCATTTGAGAATGTTTCCATAGTTTTTAGCACCTGATCCAGGTGGTTTCGACTAGAAGCCAATAATTTGAAATCATCCATATACATCAGATGATTAAGCTTCACCACAACAGTATTGTTGGTTTTAAAGCTAAAACCTTTAGTAGCGAGATACTGGGTTCATCGCTAACCAGAACCAAAGTGGACTCAACGAGTCCCTCTGGAAAAAGCCGCGGTTACTTGGGATAACTTCGGCAAAGCGGCAAAAAGTTTTTTTTTTTTTTTTTGGTGTATGTCTGGATAGAAATGACTATATATATATATATATATATATATATATATATATATATATATATATATATATATATATATATATATAGAGTCGATTATAAGTTGTTCTTTGCAGTCCATGAAATCGTTGGCACATTCTTTTAGTTGAGGCTTTATGATATCGTTTATAGAACAGTTTTGCTAGACCAATTTGTACAAAGGTAAAAGACAAGTAATCGGACGGTACTTAGCTAAATCTTGGGTGTTATATTGATATTGATATTTGATATTGGATAAGAGGTTACCTGAGTAATCAATAGTGGTATTTTCCGCGGATCAGAAATACCATGATTAATTAACATTGCTAAAAGCTCATGGACACTCTAAAAACTTCTTTAGCCAGAAGTTGTGAACTCTGTTTGATCCAGGAGATTTTCAATAATGAAGCTCTTTGATAATGTTCGAGAGTTCTTCAGTGGTGAAAGGTTCATAGGGAATATTACTGTAGTGTTGATAGTTGTTCGTCGTTTCTTCAATCCATCCAGCACTTTTGTTATTAGTAGCTGGCGTCGAAGTTCTCAAAAACTCATAAATTTTTTCTTGGCTTTGAGTAGGATTTATTTTTGTTTTCTATAGTGAAATTGAGTTTTTTATTGAAAGTCTTTTCTGCATGCTCAAAAAGTATATTGTCGCATTTCCGTATCTCTTTGTATATCCTAAAGTGACCTGAACAAACGGAGAGGGTTTGTTGTACTGTGTCCAGACAGTGTTGAGCTTTGTTGTTTTCTGGGGATTATGTGGGTGTCTTGGAATGTACGGATTTATTCCTTAATTTGACCAATATTTTCCTACGCAATAATTGAATTTTTCTCAGCAGTCATTTTTCCCATGGTGCAATTCTGTTTTCAGTCCTTAATCCAATTCTTAATGAAGATATTTCAATATATGGGCTTTCCCGATATAATTCACAATTTGTAACAGCGCACCTAGTTTCTTACAAGAGTTTATTTTTGTTAGCGGTGATCTGCTACGTGGATCATTAAACTCTTGTACAGTACGTGCCATTTCATTTTCAGTACAGCTTTCTGCATGGTCTTATAGAGATGTTCATCTAGACCCACATTTTTATGTTTTCCATTATGAGATTTTTCGGAATGACTCCAGTAGTAGAGAGACTAGAGGAAGATAGTTGGTTTGAAAAAGTCCTAATTTAACAACAATCTCTTGATGGAGGATTTTTTCTACTGAGTCATGAGTATTCAGTTACAGCAAATGCCTGGCAGCTTTGGTAAAATGTTGAATGGTTTCTTGAGCTTGACATATCTTTCTGAGATATTTATACTATCAGTTTTACCCATGGCCTTGATGTTTTGGTTTTTGCATATCGGATCTTCAAAATTAATAATTATATAGTCTACTCATAGCTTTATATAGTTATTATTGTAAATTCTATAATTATCACCGAAGACAACATAAAGGATAATTTTAAATGATAGTTTTAAATCCTCAAAATAAATTATATCGCCTATAGTTGGAGTCATCTAGGACGTTTTCTTGCGAAATGGTTTATGATTCATTTTTTGGATTCAAGTCAGTGTTGCGATGAATGTTTAGTAACATCAATACATTTATTCTCTCCTGGTTTATTTTGGATCTAAGATAGATCTTTACATGTCTTACGGTTGAGAATGATCGTTCCGCGGTGTAAGTCGTCGCGATTTGAAATTGAATTATATTGCCTTGTCTTAATAAAAGACGAACTGAATCCCAATTCGCACTCACCTCTTTGAGAACTGTTAGTGTTGAGATTAAGAAGATAAAAGTAGCTTGCCTGCCCAGTCACAATTCTGGGTTGAGGGTAGGGTGAGAATACCGTCAGTTTCGCTACACCCAAACCGAATTACAATTACAATTACTGTTCATTGCTTCAATAATTCAAATCAAGCATTCTGTGTAATTTAAAGTAACTATACAAAAAGTAAAGCTGGTAGAAAAATACATATATCTTGGACACGAAATAATGATCACAAGAGACAATAAGACATGCGAACTACGAAGAAAAATAAACCTAGCATGGGCAGCCTATAGAAAACTCAAAGACATCTTTAAAAGCGATATGGTGCCTATGGTGCCGAAAATTTGACATTGACAGCCACAAGTTCTAAAACGCTGCAAATAGCTCAGAGAAAAATGGAAAGGCCAATGCTGAGTATATCGCTTCGTGATCGAGTTAGAAATAAGGAATTAAGATAAAGAACAGGAGTTACCGATGTAATTTTCCAAATTGCCACACTGAAATGGAACTGGGCAGGACACGTCGCCCGAATCAGTGATGAAAGATGGACGAAGAGATTACTTGAGTGGAGGCCTAAGTTAGTCAAAAGAAGTAGAGAAGTCCCTCCTACTCGTTGGACTGACGATCTCAAGAAAATGTCAAGAAATTTGATGAAAAGTGCTCAAGATAGAGCACAATGGATAAAAATGAGGGATGCCTATGTCCAGCAGTTTACGCAAAGGGCTGGTTAATGATGATGACACAAAATGATAATTTATAGCAGGTGATGTTCATTTTCTGAATTCGGGACAAATTAAACTGCAAAAAAATAATATTTATAAAATAAATACAATAGGGGGTCTAATATATATATATATATATATATATATATATATATATATATATATATATAAATTTTATGAATATATAATCTTTTTATAAATATTTTGACCGATTGTGTATATAATTGTTGATATATAAATGTGTTGACAAGAAAATACCACCATGCATATAAAGCTGGACGAAAGCACAAAAACTAATCCCATAAGACTACAACGGGGAGTAAGACAAGGAGACACCATCTCTCCCAAACTATTTACCCTTGCTCTAGAAGATATTTTTAAGAAACTGGAATGGAACAATAAGGGTATTAACGTCGACGGATCATACTTAAACTACTTAAGATTCGCAGATGACATAGTTTTAATAGCCGATAATATCCAAGAACTAAATGATATGTTACAACAATTAAATGCAGTTTCAGGAGCGGTAGGCTTAAAAATGAACTACAGCAAAACAAAAATACTGAGCTGAGATCAGACAAATATAACAATATAAAATCATACCATAGAAAATGTTAAACATAATGTATATCTAGATCATCTTATCAAACCAGGCAAACCAAATCAAGATGCTGAAATTAAAAGAAGAACACAACTGGTATGGGGCGCTTTCGGCAAACTAGCACATATCTTAAAAACGCCCCCATTCCTATAAACTTAAAGTGAAAGGTGTTTAACACATGTATACTACCAGTTTGTACCTACGGCTTGAAGACAGTAGCCCTTACCAAAAAATCTGTTAAAAAATTAGAAACAACGCAAAGAGCCATGGAACGAATCATGCTTGGAAAATCACTAAGGGACAAGATTAGAAACACCGAGATAAGACGTAGAACAAAGATTAGGGATATTGTGGAAGAAATTACAAACATGAAATGGCGCTGGGCAGGTCACGTAGCCCGATATAATGACAACAGGTGGACACGGAGAATTCTAGAATGGAGACCAAGGACGACAACAAGAAGCATAGGAAGACCTAAAAAAAGATGGGTAGATGACATAAGAGCAGTGGCAGGCAAACAGTGGATTAAATTGGCGCAAGATAGAGAAAAATGAAAGCAATTGGGAGAGACCTACATTCAGGAGTGGATGGAAAATGGTTGACGAAGAAGAAGAAGAGAGTTGACCGATTTATTTAAAAAAGTCAGATATTGGTTTTAGTCAGTCGAATATGAGACAAGATTTTAGCTAATTGTATAGATAGATATTTGGCAATTACAATCCCTAGAATAAGGGGTATTCTTATATTTGCTTTTTTTATTCATTTTCCAATATATTTAATATTTTTTTATAATTCTAGGTGTGATGTCGGAACTTGCATACCAAAAGATTGGGAATGTGATGGAGAATTTGACTGCACTGATAATTCAGATGAGCACTGTTGTAAGTTTTTTAATTTATTTACATATAATTTTTTAATGTTATTAGTCCATTATTAACTTTTTCGCGGTTATACTATTTTTAATCATATCTGGTACAATATTCTCGAAATAAGTAGAATATAACCTAAGACTAACAAGAAACACATATAGAGCATAATTAGAAACTAGTATTATATTTCTATATATAAGTATAATAATAAATAAAAGTATACCTGGATTATATAACAAGAAATTCACACGAAAAATAATTAACGAATTCTTTATAAAATAGTATATTAAAGTATAAGTGAATTTTGAGGTCTTTAAAACAATTTCCACATTTTTAGAAATAGAGCAAGTATTTTAGAAACCAGTTATACACAAATACTTTACCATATTTTTTTATTGGTACACTTTGAAATCATGTATTATTACTATAGAACATTGAAATAAGAGCTAATAATGTAAATAGTTAAATTTGTGATGTACATCAAAATACCTTTAGTTAGAGCTACCACATACAGCGACGATAACAGCTGTTATCATCGCTGTATGTGGCAGCCATGTTTTCTATTTTAACTATTTGATGTGAATTATACATATGTATAAGGGTTAGACCTAAGATCTGTGGCCTAGAGAGCCCGATCTTTGTTTTTAATATGTTGTTTGGTTCACAATTTTTCTTCTATGAAGTATTTATTGCCTATTTCTGAATTATTTTACACACTATCAATTTTATTAAAAACATACAAAACCTGCTTACCAGTTATACCTATTTAGAAGTGTGTACAAGTCTTACAGTCTTTTTCAAAAATAAATATGATAATGTAGTTCTATTATATTATGTACCGGGTGGTCCAATAAGCCGATCTCTCGGCTATATATAAGAAACTATTCATGTTATAACTTTAGGAGAAAAAATTCCTTAGTAAAAGTGGCCAAGAGAAATCGCTGGAAATAGCTTTCGAGTTGCTGGGTTAACCGCTAGGGGGCGTAACCTGTGAAGAAAAATTTGAAAACCAGTTTTTTGTGAAATATGCCCAATTATACCAAGTGTTAAATAAATAAACTAGAAAGAGGCCTAAATTCGGCACAAAGTTGTTCAAATACTTATTTTTTATTTTTTCAAATAAAGGGTGGAAAATTATTTGTGGATAAATACCTATAACTTTGGTTTGGATCAAATGATTTTAACGAAATTAGTGTCATTAGAAAGAGCGTGAATAATTTAATTTACATCTACTATAAAACAATTTCATTTAGTTTTAATTTTCATGGGTAGAGGGTACTCTCGAATAGAAAAAATTAAAATTTGTTTTTCTTCAAAATGTTTAATGGAAACACGTATTTATTCTAAATTATAATGGAACTGGATTAAATTTGTAACAAAATTGCTCAAACTGCATGTTGATAGCTTTTGTCGAACTCGAAATATGAATAAAACCGCATAAACATAAGTAAGTATTTATTATAACTTAAAATTATATATATATCCCGTTTATAGCGTAATCCGCCTTTGGGTTCCCGTTCGCCAAGCCTGTCTATTCTGCCAATCTTCTTCAAATAGATTTCTTGCTGACATGGCTTTTGAAATTCCTTGCATCCATGTTGTTGGTGGTCGTCCTCGTTTTCTTTTCTCTGGTGGTACCCATTCTAATATTTTTTTTTGGTAGTCTTTCTTCCCCCATACGTCTAACATGTCCGTACCATGTCAGTTGTTGTTTTTCGATGTCTTCTATAATTGATCTTTGTACATTCATTTGATTTCTTATGTCCTCATTTCTCACATGTTCTAATCGAGACTTTCCCGCTGCTCTCCTCCAAAAATCCATTTCAACTGCCAAGAGGTTACCTTTAAGTTTTTGTGATAACTGCCATACTTCTGAGCCATATACGATTACTGGTTTCAATATTGTGTTATATATTCTTTTTTTCGTTTCCGGTCTTATATTTTTCTGCCATAGTACTGAATTCAATGCACCTATAACTCGTTTCCCTTTGGTTATTCTGTCTTTTATGGCTTCATCAGTTCTTCCTGTCTTTGTTAGTTTTACCCCCAAATATATACATTGATCGCATTTCTTAATTTTCCCGTCTTCTAAGTCGAGGTCATCTGCAGTATTTTCTCCTCCTATGCAAAGATATTGCGTTTTTTGTAAATTTACTTCGAGGCCCCATTTTTTGTACTCTTCCATTAGTTTTCTAGCCATATACTCTAGGTCTTCCTTGTCTTGGGCAATAACTACCTGGTCATCTGCATAATGCAGCGTGTATAACGTTTCATCCCCAATAGACAGCCCCATCCCTTTACACTTCTTTTTCCATTGCCTGAGTTTAAGTTACCAACTTAAAATTAAATATGTGAAAGATCATACAAATATCTCGATCATTAACACTTAATGTCCAATTAGATGTTCAAATTATTTTCCATCGTTGTCCACACAAAGATGTAATCTTTCGCGCGTGTACATAACAGCTGCTTAAATTTCAGCTGTTGATATACTATTTATTGCGTTTATAATGCGCTGTTTCATGTTGTCTCGCGTGGTTGGCCGAGTTTGGTACACTAAGTCCTTAAATCTTCCCTACAGATAAAAGTCCACACATGTTAGGTGTGGAGATCTAGCTGGCCATGAAAATATACTTACCCTTCCAATCCATTTATTTGGAAAAGTCTGGAAAAGTGCGCAGAACACCCTTCATGTTGTAATATCGTATCTCTTCTTGTTTGTAAGAAAATATCTTCCAATAAAACAGACAATTGATTTTGCAGAAAATCCAAATATGTTTCGCCATTTAAAGTTCTATCAAAGAAATATGGATCTACGATATTTCCATCAAATATATCACACCAAACATTAAGACTCCATCTACCTTGAACCTGCACCTCATGTATCCAGTGCGGATTTTCTTTATAATAGCCCAACCTTGCATCAAAATCTCTCTCATGTAAAGCTTGATGGATAACTACATGATAAGGATGTAGTCTAAAAAACAGAACAACAAATATTGATGAAAAAGAAACCACTGTATTTACTAAAACTAAAAAAATCTTGGAAAATTCACAATTGTTTTACAAGATAAATCGTACATAAGTATTTTTAATAAACGGATAAAAGAATAAAAACGCCGTGTTGCCGTTTTTATCGTAATATTAAAATAACAGTTGAATCTAAAATTTAAAAGGAATTCCAAGTTTCTGACCTAAACATTCACTTTATAATATGAAAAACTAACCTGTGATGTTTTAAAATCCTTAGAATAGTAGTTTTGGGTATGTTTAATTCTATAGAGATTTGCCGACTACTTATATGTGGATTCTGTTGAATTAAAGCAAGAACATTGATTGAATTATCTTCGGTCATACCTCTACCACGTCGTTTAAAATAAAGATGATGAAAAGTACCAGTTTTTCTTAATTTTCTTGCCTTTCTTTGTCATAATGTCTCCTGTCAAGATATCTTACAAAATATATACGTGAAGCAACAGCGGCATTTTGGTAACATTCGAAATAAACTCCAATTATATCATACAATTCTGCATTTTATATACTCATCACGAATTATTAGTACTGATGATTAATTACCAATTTTACCAATATTAATATCAATTGAAAAAGTGCAATCTTCAAATCGAATTATAATATAACACTTCTTAACAATGTCTTGACTGCTGTCAAGAAATAAACAATATGAACTCCCCGTCAAATTCATTGTTGTAACCTACTTAGTTGCGAAAAAAACTATTTTTAATCATATGCAATTCCAATGGTCAAAATAGAAATCAACATTAAGATTCTTTTGCTATAAAAAAAATTGAGAGTACCTACTAACTTATTTTTTAATTTAATTTTTAATACAGGGTAAGTCAATATTATACTTACTTATGTTTGCGTTTTTATTCATATCTCGAATTCGACAAAAGCTATTAACATGCGGTTTGCGACATTTTATTCCGAATTTAATCTAGTTCCATTATAATTTACAATAAATAGGTGTTTCCATTAAACTAACTTTGAAGAAAAACAAATTTTAATTTTTTCTATTCGAAAGTACCCTCTACTTGTGACAATTAAAACTAAATGCAATTATTTTATAGTAGATGTAAATTAATTTATGTACACTCTTTTTAATGAAACTAATTTCGTTAAAATCGGTTAAGACAAACCAAACATATAGGTATTTATCTACAAATACTTTCCCACTCCCCCCACCCTTTATTTGAAAAAATAAAAAAAATTACTTGAATAACTTTATGAAGAATTTAGGCCTCTTTCTAGTTTACTTGTTTAAACTTGGTACAATTAGGCATATTTCCCAAAAAACTGGGTTTCAAAAGTTTTCTTCATAGGTTACGCCCCCTAACGGTTACCCAGAAACTTGAAAGTTATTTCCAGCGATTTCTCTTGACCACTTTTACCATGAAATTTTTTCTCCTAAAGTTATAACATAAATAGTTTCTAATATATAGCCGAGAGATCGGCTTATTTCACCACCCGGTACATAAGGAAGTAGAGAAGAAAATTAAGAATAGTAGCGAGACATATTCACATCGCTTCACACAAAAAACTGTGGAAATACATATACAGGGTGATTGATTAGTGTGAGGAAGCTCAGTAGATCTGTTATAGTAAAAATTACTAAAAAAAGTTATTAACAAAAATTGTAGGCAGCTTTAAACTCCACATTTTAAAATTAGTTACAATCTTACAGGGTGTTCCATAAGATAGTGGCAGACCAAACTTATGTTTTTTTTAAATTTAACACCCTGTATTTTATTTTAAATTTAAAATCTGCTTCACTTCCACATCACAACAATGTAAAGTTTTATTATGTTATACCGGGTATCTAAAAAGTTATAACCAATATTACCTGAAAATCGTATCAAGTTTAACTCCCTGTGCAATTAAAAAGGAGTATAGGAACATTGATCTATTGCAACCATAGTTTTTAAATAGTTATTAAAAATTATAAACCGTATTCGTTTCCATAATATTCGTTAAATCAAATACAGGGTATGTCA